TCCCTACCTAGAATATACATAAAATCGAAACAAAATCAAAACTGCATTTACAGACAAAATTTTGCAATTTTGCATTTACTGCAAAGCTGATGGTTTTACCCATTCCAACCCTCTATGACTGAGTACCGCCTGTAGAAGGGTGTATTTGTCCTGCAGGATTATTGAAGACAGAGGTCCTACATGCACTCAAGAGGTGTTGTTACTTCTACCTCACATGACAGCAATGACAAACATTGACACTGAGCTCTGCTAACCAGCAGCAAGTAGCATGTCATCCCACATCTAGGCTTCATACCATCCTTCATACCTAGCTGGAAAAGTCCTGAAAGGGACACCACTATTTCAAAGCTTCTGAGGGCTAAGAATAACTTATTTCTTTGCAACCAAGCCAGTGTTCACAACTTTTACACATGCATGTATGTATTCACACACACCCCTTTCATATACAGATACACATTTTCTGTTTGTGTGAATCATTCTCCCAGATAAAAACCAAATAAAAAGTCCCACAAAAAATCAAAGCTCAAGTAGAAGTAACTATCCGAACTTGCTCGGAAAAAAATTGAAATACATACACATAAAAATGTGACATAAATCAGAAGATAAACTGAAATCCTCAGTGACAAAATTTCTCAGCATGCTACTGATTTCCTCCACCAATATGTAGTTTCAATGACATATTGCAAATAATTTCTATTTCTTTATGATGGGTTATGAAAAACAGAAAAAACACCTTCTCAGCAAAACTATTTTGATAAGCTTTTACTGTTAAAAGTCTTGGGTATTACCTATAAAAGCCAACAAGTATCTGAGCTCAGTAAAAATCACTCCAATATAAGGTACTACTTGAAGTAAGACCGTATAGGCATTGCTTACAGTTTGGACGCATTTGCAAATTACAAAATCAAAATCTGTTCTGAAAATGAAATGCGCTTTCCCAGCCTAGATATCCCAGACTATGAAGTCACTACATGAGAAAAAAATTTTCAATAAGAAACGGTAACAGGCACAGGGAAAAGAAGAGAAATTCCTTTTCTGTGTTAAGCTTTTTTTTTTTTTGCATGTAAAGTGCATTTTCCTCCCTGCATTGACTTATTTTTCTCCCCCACCTAGCTGGACAAGGGACAGACAAAAATTCAGTGCAACTCTTTGAACTGAGGATCATTATACATTTAGTCAGTTCAACAAGGTTGAAATAGAACTTGTTTTAATTGCAAGGCATCTTGAAAAGATTTCTTAGGCAAAACACAACCACGTTACGAGCAGATACTTTATCACTACATGTGAAGACTACTGTAACATTTCATTGAATAAATGAACTCCGAAGAGAAAAAGCAAGGAGCATTTTAGTATATGACAAAAAAAAACCTGGAGTGATTATTATAGCAGAGATGATGGTCCGTAATAGAAGCATTGATATAATCAACTGAAATGCAACAGAGGATATTAAAATATATAAAAAAGTCCTTCTGTCTCTTGATGGATTAAGCAGCTTTCACCATGACTGTTGACTACTTGATTTCATTACAGACATTAACACGTACCTCTCTGCCAGTATCAGCAGCAGTAAGGTTGAATACTTTTCTTGCCACTGCTGGATACCCAGCTCAAATCCTACTTAAATATCTAGGATTCTTCTAATGCTACACACTCACGCACGCTCTACATTTCCACAACGCCCCAGATGTTCTGCCATACAGATTGTGCAGCATTGCTCATAATAAAACCATAAACCAAGCATAAGCCCTGTGACATGTGACAATACAAATACACTGGCAGCAAAAAGAAGTCGTGCCAGCAGAAGCAGATGAAAATCAAGCTTGGCAGTTGTGTATATAACAGGGCATATTCCTCCCCCCGCCATTCAAAATACCTCTTCAGATGTTTACTGTTCTTAGTTTTTACAAGAATTTACTAATGACCTAGCAAGTCCTGTACAAGTGACTTAAGAGGAAAGTTTGACACTAGGGAATTCTCTATTGTCTGAATGAGAAAATTACTTCTAAAAATCCTTTTGTTTGGTGCTAATCTATTTTTTTGTTGAAGATTTTCACAACAGTGACATCCCTCAATCCCCATTCCCCACTTTCCTCCTTCTGATGGCTGGGAGGGTGGGGGAGAAGACAACCTTCATTTTAAACCAATAAAACCTTTTGTATGGCACATTTTTACAGCATTGCATATCAAATTTAAAGAACTGACAATATTTTTTGTCTACTTGAAGGCTACACAGACAGCATCCTTTACACATTCTGCAACAGTGAACGTAATTTCCAATATCTAATCAATATCAAGACAGCAATAGCCAGGAAGGTCTTAGGTTGTGGCAAGTCTACCAGACCAGAGCTACTCAAACAGTGGACTAGCTCAAAGTAAAAAGTAGTTTTACAGTAACTTAGCTGAAGTCTTATATATGCCACATTCCTGAGGGAGAGTTCACAATGTTCAACAGTCTTTCACAGAGCAATTACTGAGCACTTCTATATTTTCCAGCTATGAAGGCGACATAGAGCATTGTGTTTCAGGAGGGCTGGAGCTGGCACACTCCATACACCCCAGCAAAAGTCAACTGAATAATCCTGATCTAGATAGTCAGAACAGAAGGCCCACTACCAGGTATGTACAACACAGGCAAAACACCTTAATCACTTAGTGAATTCATTAATATAGTTAGCAGTTGATTATTTTACACCAAATGTACATTTGGGAAGCCCATTCCAGACTCAAAAGACTATGAATTCATGCAGCATTATCCCTCAGGAGAGAGATACCCAGAGACAAACCAGATCTCATCCATCAAATTCAATACACAGAAGAATTTTCCCCCTGCCTCTTCTCACATATATAATATACAATATCTACTATAGTATATCGCACACACAAAAGGTCCAATAAAGCATGAAGCACTGCAGTACTCAAGTGATTTAGGTGCCTTGAGGTTCTCTTCCCACTTCCACAGAGGTTCCTCTGTGCCACCCACTGCAAGCGAGGTCTCTGAGATGCCTGTCCTTGGGAAAGCTCCCCCACTCTGCTCTCCACCTCCTCCACCTTCCCAAAGTGGGAGGAGGAAATCGCCATTTAGTCAAATACCTTGCAAGA